AGTTGATGGGTGCTGACGAGTTGATGGGTGCAGCACAGCAACATGGCACAATATACATATGTAACAAAGCTGCACGTTATGCACATGTACCCTAGAACTTAAAGTATAATAATAATTAAAAAATTTAAAAAAAAATAAATAAATAATTGCACATTGAAAAAAAAAATATTGTATAAACAGTGCAGCCTGTAAAAGTTACTATTGTAAATAACAGTGAATATGCTCCAGTCAGTGTATTCAGCATTTATATCATTCTTTCAACAGTTTTACAACACAGGCAACATTAATGTTCTGCTCTTATAGGTCAAGAGGTTGAGGCTCAGCAAGTGTAAGATATCTGCATGAGGGGAAAAGGTAAGATCTGAATCCAGGTCTGTCTGAGGCTAGAACAAATGCTCACAATTGCATCACTTTCATTAGTTATCAGAATAATAATCACTACATAGCATTATGTGTGAACCAGTCGAGGCAGTAAAAACACAGTTCTCTTCATTATCACATCTGAATTTTAAATGCAAAAACAAAATAACATCTGTTCTTCATAAAAGTGAAATGCCATGGAGTTCTAACCATACAAATGTTTTCTTCTCTTAGAATTTAATTGTCCTGAATCCACTCACGGTGACTGAGGAGGAAATAAGACCATCACTAGAGAAACGACTCGAAGCCATTATCAGTGGGGCTGCTCTCCTGGCAGATTCTTCATGCACGAGGGACTTCCACCGGGAGCGGATTATTGCAGAATGCAACGCCATTCGCCAGGCTCTTCAGGATCTGCTTTCAGAGTACATGAACAATGTAGGTGACTTGTTTGCCCTCCCATCCCTAGCCCCTCTTTCCTTGTACTTTGAATATATGCTGAGATACTTTCCGTGTACAAAACAGGATAAATTACAAATGAGTGTGCGATTTTACATGGGTTGATTTTCTAAGTGAGTTCTGCTTGGTTATTTTTGGGGAACAACAACCCTGGGAGTTTCTAGGGATGAAGTCAGAACCAGAGGAGTATTTACAAGTGACCGTTTTGTTTGTGGAAGTATCTCAGTATTAGTTGAAAAAGGAAATCAGGATTGGAGAAAGGAAACCAAAGTTGCACATAAATTTAAGAAATATAAAGAAGATAAAGAGAGGGGCAGATTGCTCAGGATTAAATTGGTGAATAATGAAAGGCCATTAGAAGTTAGTAGTCAATAAAAGTGATATTACAGGGGTCATGAGCTATGTTTGAAGGTGTGTAATGAGCCCATGCCAGTTGTTATTTTTGTTGTTGTTGTTTTATGGAGATAGACTGTGTCTTGCTCTGTTGCCCAGGCTCAAGTGCAGCTGGGCGATCACAGCTAATGGCAACATCGAACTCCTGGGCTCACAGGATGCTTCTACCTCAGCCTCGCAAGTAGCTGGGACTACAGGTGTGTTACCATGCTCAGCTAATTTTTGTAGTTTTTGTAGAGATGGGGTTTTGCCATAATGCCCAGACTGATCTCGAACTCCTGGGCTCAAGTGACCCTCCCACCTTGGCCTCCCAAAGTGCTGGGATTACAGGCACCCACACAGTTTTGGCAGCTGCTAATCTTTTTCAGATGTGACAGTGTCTAGTTTTTTTTTTTTTTTTTTTTTTTTTTTTTTTTTTGAGACAGCGTTCAAATATATTGCCAATGTCTGAATTTAGGGGAAAAATATTTGTTTCAAAATCCATTTTGTTTCATTGTATACATACATATATATGTGAAATATATGTCTCTTCTCTATGGAATGTCTATAACTATT